CGTACGACATTTTTCAGACTAGTTAACTTTAATGGATTATGATTTAAATTTACATTCAAGAAAAATCATAAAAATGAAATTTATTGTTCATAATCAGCTTTCTTCACAGAGATATAAAAATATGTTTAAATATTCCTCGTACAAAAGCAGTAACATTGATGAAAAATTAGATAAATTTGAATATCATGTTTAGTTTAGTTTTGAAGATTCTTGCAATATAAAGTGCGGAATAGAACGATATAACAATATTGCTATTATACGATGTGATTGGTGTAAAAAATCATTTTTTAAGCATTTTTTTTAAATTTATCATTATTGTCAACACTTTGTGTTATAAAATACTATAATTTAACTATGAAAAAAAATAATAATATAAATCTTATAAAAAGTAATTTTTAATCATTTTCATTGAAAAAAATATCCATTAAATATCGAATAATATTTGATAATTAAATTTTAGGAGTGATCGTTCAATACTACTATTGCAAAGAAATATATTTTTAATTTTGGTATAAATTATATTCTGTTCCAATACTTCTCAAAGAAAAAATTAATGTTTGATCACCAAATATAGTCTACAACTTTAAAGGATAATTATCAGTACTTGGAGATATCTATTTAAAAATCAATAAAACACGTTAACTTCAGTATTTAATATAGCGAATAGTAATATTTTTCTTAATTTTGTTGAGTTTATACTTGAATTTTCATGAAAAGAAAATGAATCAAATTCTAATTTTTTTTAAATATAAAATAAGGATTGCAATCACCTAGGTCATAAATATGCCTAATATATTAGACATCTTTTAACAAATATTCTCCACTTGGTATTATTAAAAATATAGATGCTGAGATATAATAAGAAAACAATTTTAGAGGTAAGATTTAGGAATGATTTTCTCTACTTAAAAGTGAATATCAGCATAAAAAGAAAAATACGTGTCTCTTATTTTGTCGAGTACTACAAAACATATAAAAAAATTATTGAAATCGGTGATGTCGGGTTTAGGGTTTCCCTGTAAAAATAAAGATTTAAGCCCCAGTCACACCTCACAAAGAGGTATTCTGTATAATATGTAAAAATCAAATTCAATATGATATAAAACATCCTCTATACCCGACGCCCATCGAAACCTTCACGGCACAAACAATAGACTTGGATTACTTGTTTTTTAGTACTCACACTATATAAACTATTTAACAGCTATGTTCACTTACGCGTCTAAACTACTGAACATTAACCTTTACCAAGCTAACCAGTATAACTTACCATCTTATATCTCATTTGCAGTAGTCAGACAGCAATTAATCACAAACGTCCAAACTAACCCACAACTCAGAGTTGCTCTTATTGTACAAAAACCAACTAACCTACTAACTGCAACAGTACTTTACCTTTTTGACTAAATTGAGATTTGTGAATGAACCAATTTATTTTCAAATATTATGTGCAATATAAAGATAAACAAATGAAATACTTACTTTATAAAAACCTTGTAGAACATATAATGCTGATAATCACGATCATCCGTGCTTATCTGATTACCACTACTACCTGCTTAGAAGACCCGTCTTTTGAGCCGTATAACTCAACTTGGTATTGCCTTTGAAAAGGTCGCAGACATTGAATTCATCAAAGAAAAATAGAACATTATCACTGCAATTGACGTGGAACCTCACCATCGAAGACAACTTCGCGGACATAATTAATGAAATATCGATAAAATTTGATCGAAAATATCCAATTTTCGACAAATTTCTACGAAAAATCTCATTCTCAGAAAACAGTCAATAATTATTATTGTACAAACAATCGGTGATAATGTTAATGAAAATTTCAATTTAGCGCTTTTAAGCGATATTTTATCCAAAGTAAATAGTATACTATCCAAAATTTAAAATCTTTTACAAGAGCTGCGTAGATTTTTGTAAATTAAATAATTTTTATTTTAAACTCACCATTTACGGAACGCACTCGGCTGTATTAAAGCCATTTCAAATTTAAATTTACCTATACCAATTGTAAATATTAACATTGCAATAATTAAAGTAATTGCAAAAATCAACATAATTTATTTTAAAAAAAATTATTATTTTAAGTAATTTTTCACTTCGTAGCCAATTAATTTTCATCACGTTGTAAAATATACGCATTTTCCATTTTTCAAATAGGTCTTTCTACAAAAGATTATTATACTGCGTACATCAAATCCCAGAAAGATATATTGCTTCTACTAAAGGAAAAAATACACATACCCTGTTAGCCAAAAATTTGTAGATTTACTCTGCTTCCATTTTTCCAAGTTTTCAACTTCAACTTATTATCTAACAGCACATAATTACGTGATTAAGGACACCGGGGGTTTTTCTATCGGACACTGGTACAGAATTTAGAAACATGATGGTAGACGAGTACCTGTCCAGATAGGAAATCCAGTATAATATGATACCGTTGTAATTCCAGAGGGCCAATCCTACGAAGACAATGATCATCTCTTACATAGAGAGAAATCATCGCAGTTAAGATGGAAAATCGGAGCAGATCACGTTCACTCTGAATACGGTACTACATACGAGAAATAAGGTGATCCCTGTAATGTTGAATTATGGTCGTCAGCCACTGCCTCCCGGTTCGTATTGCAGGGACAAGATCAGCTGGCTCAATAATGAATTTGAAGTCAAAAAAAGCTTATAGGTAGAGTATTTAAGTTTTATACTTGCTATGCTTGACGATGTAGCGGAGCAAATAAAAATTAAGTAGGAAAAGCAGGCGAAGATATTCGATGATAAACGCCGAATCACTCCTTTCAAGATAGACGACTGAGTTTAACGCGTAAATAGAATCCTGTCTTCCTTTACGTTAGCCCCTCTGTACGTTGGACTCTACGTGATCACAGAAAGATATGATCCCACTACGTATCACATGAAAAATCATCTGGAAGAGATCGAAGCCTTTATCAACGCTATAAACCTTAAGCTTTTCTACAAGGCTACCCTGAAAAGAGAAGGAGAAACCCTAGAGTTAGAAGGCCAGGGAAGCTGGAAGAAGAGGAGGCGACGAGCAATCCGCCACCAGACGACGTAGTATTGTCCGATGAAGTAGAGAGTTTCAAAACGTCCTACGAAATGTGAATCCGCAGAAAGACTTTCGCGTTGCGTGCTTGAACTTGAAAAATAATGATGGAACTTCGGTACGACGGTATAGGAATCGCTCGAGAAATGATCCTGCTATAGCACAAAAAATTCCGATCGTAAAGTGATGGGCCAAACTGTAAAGGTCATCCTCGTCGTTAACTTAATCTCGGTTCGAAAGGATTTTCGAAACTCCTCCGAGTTTTCGGCGGTTAGGCAACCAAAAAGAGAACAAAGAAAACCACGTAAAGCTTCTACTAGCATGTGGCATACTTGAGCACATTTCTCTTTTGCAGGCCGAAAACTCCAATAGATGTGGCCGAAGAGGCTATCAAGAAGCTCCTGATCTTAAAACTGAACTAACGGGCCAATGACATGATAACCGCACTTGCCCATGCCATGAGCAAACGCCTCACGTAGAAAGAAAAGGAGCCTCAGCTTCTTATACATTTTTTCGTCATCCTGCGTTCATGATTGAGAAGGTGAATAAAGCAGAGGTCAGCAGCGCCTGGTCCTCGACCTGGGAAAAACTAGAGGGAGCTCATTTATAGAGCTGTTCCTCTCTTTTAGATTAATAATTAATAATTAATTACCGTCTAATCTACACTGGAAGAAAAGAAGGTAGTAGTGGAAAAGGGTGAAAAAATCATGGACTTTCGTCCAACATATGTAGCGCTCCACCAATTTCAGAGGGCTCAGCGAATTCCTCCATTATTGAGGAGCGGATTCGTTAGTCATCTTTTAAAGCGAGCAAATATGTATCCGATGAGAGAACGCCAAGGTCGCCATGACATCTCAGCGAAAACGTAGGAATTCCGCTCCTACCTAGAATAGGTGTTTTCATCCTATACCGCTTATTTTCAGCCACGATTGGATTGGCCTTGAAACCGGTTTACGCGTGAATGCTATATCCAACAGTAGATTCATCATCACTTTTCAGCCGGAAGGTAATACCACCCTCAGCGCAACATCGATCATACATTCCCTACGCATTTATGAGAGGGCACCTTCCGCGTTATGCAGTTCATCGAGCCATCACCAGATGTTTTGTGCCTTCACTAAAGCGAACACTAATAAGGCAACTTGTGTACTTTCTCCTGTACCAGCTCGGAAAAAAGAGAATGCCACAGAATGCGAGTTGAATGAATCACTGCTCATATCCGTCGTCTTTCCCCTCGACAACTAGGTACGTATGCACCTGAGACCGTCTGTGTAGATCCTTCTCAAATTAGGAGGACGCTGTAATAAATAAATATTAGTTAAGGCGCTCACGTATGGTAAGGAACGATTGCAAGAGAAATTACGAGTGCAAACGTGAGAAAAAGGCCAAAAATTTTTTATTGGAGCGTTTTGTAAAATGTACTTGAAGAGCTAGAAAACGTTGTTTTATATTTTTTTCTTGGTTTTTCCATGAAACAGCAAGTATTTGAACATAGGCAAAATATTTTGGAAAATTTTTATTTATGTTTATATGATAGGATGGAGAAAAAAATTATAAAACCTTTCTTATGAGCTGTTGTTGACCTCTGTATATTGTTTTCCAACTATTATATGAAACTTTGAAATTTTAGTGATTTAGTGTTTGGATGAGTAAAGACTTTTGAGTAGGAGTGGACATTCCTATACCATAAAATGGAAGGGTTTTTAGTGAATAAGCCGTATTGAGGATTTAGGCATGAAAAATCTTTACGCAACGCTGGTCTGTGTTTTAATTTACAAAAGTGCTATACGACAATAGAGCATTCACATGTCTTTCTTTCAAACATACATTCTAACTTATTTCTGTATTTATGATGTTCTAATTATAAATTAAATTCTAATTGTAACTTGAATCATTCTTTAAAAAAACAGGAAATATATCACCATACCTTTAAATTTTGAACAGTTTTCCCAACTTTCACAACAGTTCCAGAAGATTCGTGTCCCATGATCATAGGTTTTTTGACAATGAAATCACCAATTCTTCCATGAATTAAATAGTGTATATCTGAACCACAAATTCCCACAGAAGCAATTTTTAATAGTACCTCTGAAATAATTAGTCATACATTTATTCGAAATCGGAGATAATATTTTTTCCATCATTATTTGAGTCTAAAAACTAATACCAAGAAATAAATATAAGGAATCATTAAAAATTTAAAGGTATTGCAACGGTTATCGATTATAGCTATCGATACGTTCGCGATTCAGCAACGCTAGAGGTGCGAGAGCGAACGATTAGAAGAGAGAGGGGGCGTACGCGAGGGTTTTAAATAGAACAGACACGCGAACAGTATCATCTGAACCATCTGAGAGTAAAAGAAAGGACCAGAAACGAAAGCCAGTAGCTGCAATTGCACAGGAGTACTGACGGTGTCAGAATCACCAGTGATGAGGTTATAGAGATGTCCAAACGTTTAATAGTGTATCGCGGTGAGGATCTTCGTGCATGTGTTCGTTGACTTTTCCTGTGATCGCGCCGAGCGTTTAGCCCGTGTATTACATCTCTCATCTCTCTTTTTCTCTATCCCCGAATAATTTTGTAAGGTGACACGCAAGCGTAAGTCTCTCGGCCCAGATTGAGACTGTATCGCTTAATACCATTAAAAGGATATTTGTTTTAATTCCTCACTTTACAGTCATTCGTCCCTTTTTCTTCTATATACTCGTTTCCCATAAACATTCAAATAGATTTAGTCTAGGGGATTGTAGGAGGAGTTGAAATCCTCCTCGCACAATACTGGAGACCAATATCATTGATCAGGTGACTTAAGGTAAGTTAATCTTAAGAAGCAACAAGAAGTTGGAGCGAAGTGTCAATGGTAAAGGTGAAGACACGTATATACATATGTGCATAACAGGGCAGCGGTTAGCTCTGCATCGCAGGATTTTGTGCAGTTATTTTCCCTAATTTCATCGTATTCCTCCCCCTGTTACAGTACAACAAATATTGACACAAGTTTTGTTTATTTAAAATATTGTAACAGGCTGCCGCAAATTCCGGGTAATTGTAGTCCTCAATACGGCCAGACGGTGAACTGTTAGCTGTATTCTTCTAGCACACTTACTCACCTGGCTCCAGTGTACGCATGCGCTGTGTCCACTCAGTGATCCAACTTGGGTGCGCGATCTCTCCGCAAAGTGGCGTTGGTGCGCTAGCTTACTAGCGCTCCGCCCTGCGGTAAACACCTCGGTCGACGAGCAGCTCCTACTATGCTTCCGTGATCCGTGCTGGATTACCGGTGCGTTCGAATCGAATGTAAACAATAACACCGATGCCGGACAAAGGGAAGACGAAATAATAAGATCGTTACTTATTAATCTCTAACCACTTTATTTAATCAAAACTAAACCTGTATAAGGGACGATTTGCCGAGAGTCTTACGCACGCTATTCCGATACAATAATTCGAATGGGGAGAGAGAGGGTAGATCTCGCGGACGTCGCGGACTATTCGCACGCACGCTAACTGTAAATTCACCGCTCACGCTGCACGGGATCGCACGCTAAACGCAATTAGAAAAGTGCTGTGCACCTACCGCTGAATCGACGAGGATACGGTGGCCAACCGTATCCGACTATTTTTAAAGATGACGAACTGCCTCTGCGACTGCTTCTCCGTTGGGGCTGTCGCGTTACTGTTGAAGCTGCCGAGGTTGAGACTGCTGCTGCCGGTGCAACACACGTTGGGCAGTGTGCGCATCCGTCACCCCACTCTGAACGTCGTCACCACTGTTGGTGCACACGTTCCGCATTGTGTACACTCGCCTCGCCACTCACTAATTATCTACGCAAGCTCCCTGGATCACACTCGGAAGGAAAAGACACGTCGTTGCTTTCAACACGATAAGCTGCGATGTAGGCGGACCGAAGGACACGGTCATACTGGCTCGCTAGCTCTCCCCTCCCGGTCATTGCCCCTAACGCGCCCTCTCTCTCTCTAACCCAAACCGATCACGGCTATTACGCTTAACCACGCTTAGCAGTTCACGCGAGTCCTAACGATTTTCGGCAATCGTTGCAATATAAATAAAACTTAAAAATATTAATAATAGATACGAAATAGGTAATGGAAATGTGACGGCTAGCCGTAACTTAGTTTTTTTTAATTTAATTAGTAAATATGACGAATGGAGTGGGAACCTTCCTGATTTCCCACGATGAAAACGCATTCGAAATATAAACTTTGATAGTGGCCCGAGCCTGCGTACTCAAGCTTACAATCAACGCTCTATCCTGCTTTGTCCCACACGCATGTGTTGACAGGGGCCTACGATCATCGCGTATACATCGTGAAGTGTTATCACGCTGATAATGGAAGGGGACCATAAAAATGCAATCTATCTTTTTTTTTTCTTCCCACCGATTTTTAAGAAAATATCCGTAATATTAAATAGATTTTCATCAATTTTGTAAGCCATTATAATGCGCATCTTTTTGTCACCGAATAACCAATAAATAGAACAATAATGTATTTTATAATAAATCGTAAAAGGTTTGAATTTTTCTGAATGTTTATAATAGTCACTATATATCGTCATAATTAATTAAGTTTAGTACAATTATGTATAAGTAATTATAAGCTATAGCGTTACTCTTGCTCTTAAAAGTGGCACTCCGAGAGCCATCTCTGGAGAAAAGGGCCCAAGTTAAAAAGGGACCGCCCTTTCTCTCTCTGAAAATTCACGCCCACAGACCAATAAAGAAATTCTGGATATGATTAGAAAATTTCCCACCAATACAAAATTTGGCCGTTATCGCTTCATGGGCCTGAGGAAAGGGATTTCCACCCAACCACCCACGGCTTATAAAAAGCTCTGTACAAGGCTGGAGAGGAAGTTAGAGTAAGTGCGGAGTGAGCACCAGGAAGTCCCTAATAAGAAGTATTTACCAGTGAGTGAGTCCCGGAGGAAGCATCAAAGAAGAAAAATCACCCAAGTATATTCAGAGCATATAGAGAGAGAAAGAGGCCAAAGAGCAGAGAGAGAACGCAACTTTAATAATAAGTGATTTGATAAAATAAAAGCATGTAAAATCTTAAATCTGGCTATCCTTTTCTTTCTTTAAGTAATCCGCCTTTCTTTTGGAAATTCATTAAGCGTGAGTCTGGTGTGTTCGTAATAACATTTGGTTATTACATTCCGCGTTAGCATACAGTTTTCTCAACGCAACAATATTGCTCGTCCTAGCTTATGTGTTACACGATAGCCAAATCAGAGCAACCCTGAGTTTACGCTTACTCCAAGCGTACCTGAGAGTGACCCCGACGTCACATAAAAATTTTGGAGGCCCCGGAGGGATTAAATTGTTGCAAAGAAAACTGTTAGGGTTTTCCTTTTTTAAATTATATCAGTGATCGGTTAGAGTAAAAGAAAATTAAGAATAGATACTACTTAAAGTATTTTATTGAATTTGAAATCTGTGAAGAATAAAATAAAGTAATAAAATTTTTTTGAATAAGAATACAAATTTATTAGTCAGAAAATCACTGATTTAATTGAAAAAATAGAAAATAAGTTTTGTGTTAAACAACGAGCTAGCTTAAATTGAAAGTGAAAATTAATGGGAATTTATTTTGCAATAAAGAATAGTGAAATAATTTAGAAAATTATTGAAATTTGAATGAGTAAATTAATAGAAGAGTTAGAGAAAAATAAAGAAAATTAAGTTGTTTAAGAAAAGAGTTTGAAAAGTATTTGAAATTTGAAAAAAAAGTTTTCAGAGAAGAATCATTTTTTATGAAAATAAAATTATAAATCAGAATAGAAAATTTGTCCAAAGAAAAGTCTTCTTTTGTGCCTTGAAGAGAGAAATAAGAATAAATGCTTATTACAGAAAAAAGAGGGTTTTGAATTTATGTTTTGTTCTAAAAATTGTATTTAGAAATAAAAAGGTTAATTTAGAAAGATCGAAAATAATATACAGAACAAATTTTGAGATAATATTACGAATCTTGTCTGAGTCGGAAAGAAATACATTAGCAATAACAATTAATTAGAGAAATTAGAAATCCTGCGGAAGATAATTTAAAAATAAATAAATAAATAAAACTCGGAGTAAAAATAAAAGAGTTTTAGAATATTGTGTTTAAAAGAAATTTAGGAAATCTTGCTGAGAAAAATAATATAAAAGTAGAAATTTTGAAATAAATAATTTTGCAAATTAGAAAAATTTAAATAAGAAAATTGCCTGTTATAAGTAAAATAAATAATTTTAAAATAAATAGTATCAAAGAATGAAGGGTTTAATTAAGAAAGTTTAAGTAAAAATAAAGATAAATATCTTTTTGTAAGAATCAAAATTTATATCTAAGGAATGAATTGCCGTAATATATCTGTAAAAATAAGATTTTGATAAAACGTTCACATACAGTTTTCATAATTCTACAAACGAATAAGTTTAAATAAAATTTTGTTGTTAGATAGATAAGATTTTTGGTCTTTCTTTTAGTTGTAATGCCACCGTTCGTAAGTTTTAATACTTTTTCGAACGACATAGTCGACACGGTAGATGAATTAATCGAAGACATTACACATTTAAAGGACAGTCAAATATCCGTAATTAATAGGGTTAATAATCATAGCTCCGATATCACAAGAATAAACAATAACGGTCGTAGTCTTAGCGCACGTGTCGCGAAACTTGAATTAGAGAATAAGCATAGAATTGAACAAATAGCTAGTTTGGGAAATATTTGTGTAGATTTAATCAAAACAAATACTGCCCTAAAGAAACAAGTTAAAAATCTTAGGAAGCAAGTAAAAATTAATAACAAACTAATTAATAGGAATATGATTTCAAAAAGGGCTTTAGCAAATAAAGTAGATAAATTAGCAAAGTCATTTGAAAATTTACAATTATAAGTAAAATAATTCGCGATAATCCTTAGTTTATACACAGAATTAGATAAGGTTTTATTACAATAAATTAGATTGAGATTTCTAGTAAAAGTATATGAAGTTCAGACTTTTTTTTAGAATTATTCTAATTATTGAAATATGGTATTAATATAAGTTTGGTGTCTTTGTTTCGATATTGTTCTAGTGG